TTGTTGGATATACATATCTTAATCATCAGTAAGAAAATTATTGAAAAAAAAGTGAAACTTCTGACACCAAAAGGAATTACATATATTTAATTCTTGTATATCCTCATTCTGACCAAGCTATTGCTGTTTGCTTTGCCTTTCTGAGTGTTACATTCTTAGCAGCATGCAATTATAAGTCTTGTCTCCTGCTCCAATCACTTTTATCATGTACCAGGTTAGTTTAATGAGCTGGAGTGATGTGACAGGCTGGGTTAGAGAAGGCGGATCAAAGCTTGGTACAAATCGGTTAGTAACAACACAATCTGTATAACCACTAATATTAATTTTCTGAGTTACTCTAAATAATTTGACTCTCACTGATTCTCTCAACTTAATTTTTTGGTCTCAAAGATACATTGTGATATGATTATGAAGTCTATTCTGTGAAGATCCTTAGGAAGACACTTTTGCTTGCAGGTTTTGTTCATGCATTGAGGTCATCAAACAAATAATACCATAGGTTTTGACTTTTAGAGTATAGCATTTTGACAAGTGCAGACATTGTTTCACATTATTAACCTTGGGAAAGATTAAGCTTTACTTGAAGCTTTGCAGCCTTTAGAAAACATATGGCTTTGCAGTTTTTCTTGGAAAACATCAGGCTTGGAAGTTTTATTTGAAAACATCTGAATTTTCCATCCATTGTTTCTGTGACAGCTTTTGGTTTTGATACACACGACTTCTATTCTGTTTGGTAAAGATGTGAATTTGCCTACTGTTACTACCATATTGTTTCAGACACCAAAACAGCAACATGTATAGTCAGCTAAGTTGCGAACTGGTTTGCATTACGCGACTCAGATCGTTACTTGATTAGAACTTGTTAGATCAAATCATTTTACAAGGGTGCATAATTTAGCACAAACTTGTTTTGAAGAGGAGCCTGCTACTGTAGGCTTGAAAATGGGTATTATTTAACTGTCACTGAATTGAACAAGATGATAACAGAGAAATCATCTTTATAAATTTGTCATAATATAAAGCTACATTAAAAAAATTAGATAATATATTGTTAACAAATTGACTATTTACTATCATTATTCCCAGATTTTAAATCGCGTACCAGTGACCATGTCCTGCATCTAAGACTGTGTTAGTTCATACATTTTGGTAATTTTGCCGTTTGTCATACAGTAATTTATACAATTTGATAAAATAAATTGAATAAGAATTGCATCTTTCATTGACATTCAATGTGTCCACAAGTATTTATTTGACGTATCTTGTTAAGGTTGGTTTGACACAATTATTCAAATCTTAGCCGGCTATGTTGCTGTTTTGTTCGAAACAGTACTGCGGTTATATTTGAAATTTTTTTTCAAAAATTACATTTGATTATTTATTGAAATTGATAGTTGATGAATGAAAGACATCACAACAAAACCAATGAGACATTGTACCCACTCAGCCTGACTAATTCGTTTGTTTTTATCTCTTTGTATTCAATGTTGTGTGCATGTAGATATCACTTACTCACTCACTTCCTTGCACTATCTGATTGTACAAGTGTCTCTTTGATATTCAGTTTCAGTTTTCATAATGTTACTTATTTTTCAGCACTATGCCACATAAAATTCTGGATAAGGTTGCTGAGAAACTACGCAAATTTAAGATCAGTGGTTTATTGATTATTGGTGGCTTTGAGGTATGTTTTAATGCTTGTTTGTGCTTTTTTTGTGTGCAAGTAATATAAATTGTGTTACTTTTGTGAGATTTATCATAGACCCTAAAAATCATGATTTTTAGGTTCTATGGATTTATTAAGTCCTAATATAAACCATGGTTGTATTGTATTACTTCATAGCATTTAGTCTCATTTTCCAGGATAAATAGACTTTTATGATGCAAATTTCATGAGAAAACGAGTTAATCCAAAATGCACACTAGACAGACAAGGTGTCCATCGAGCTTTTCATACTCTCGAATATGTTGGCTTCGTATCCGTATTTACATTTTTGCAAAATTCTATCGCGTATTTTCACAAACCTTGCGCAAACCACCGATATACACTAACTTCAACACCAAAAAACGTGCTTGAAATTTTTGATTTTCGGAGAGGAAAGAAAAACTTAATGTAAAAAATAGAAATACGGATTTATACTTCATGACCCTTGCTTCAAAACAGTGTAAAGTTTTTGGCTGCATGCATGACCGTAGAGCTGACATTTTGAAATGTAT